TTCTCTTAAAACTATAATCTACTAAAATGCAAGTTGAGAACTAAACTTATAGAACTCAAACTAAACTAAATAACTAATTATCTGACTATTTACTTAACTATCTGACTGTCTAAATTCACTAGCTAAGATACATCACTTTTATATATTCTAAAGGTTATATGAATAATACTTTTGTTATGATACTTATGCTAGTTTTGCTATGATCTAAATGCTACTTTAGCTAATATCATAATGTTGATTTTGTTATGATAGCATTATTAGTTTTGTTGTGATAGTTTTGCTAACTTTGCTATAATAATTTTGCCATAATCATCATGTTTACGAAATCTTCTAAAAATATTTATAAATAATATTCTTTAAAGCTAATATCCAATAAGATATAAAAAATTATTCATCTAATCATATTGTGATATGAAGTGATTAATAAAATATAATTAACTAATCTCTATTAAAAGTTCATATCATAACAATATAATAAATTGTATCTCACTTATTAATTCATATTTCTTTACTATTATTCTCTTGAGTTTATTGTGATAGAATTCTAGTGAATTTGTTGAGGTGATCTGTAATAAAAGAAGAAAGTACTAACATATCCAAAGTGTCTATTTTTTCATATTATTAATATAATTATAATTAATATAATGAATAATTTCAGAAACAGGACAGGTGATAATAGTATTCTTAATAATCTCTTCATAATCAATACTCATTTTTTTATGTATGGCTAAGATCATTTGGTTATGTGTTATTAGATGATAAATTTTACATAGCTATATTTGCATAATATGCATAGTGCAAAGAATAATATTATAATTTTGTTCACTACATGTAATACTAGAAAAGATATTTGTGATGCTATTCATTTCTATATTGCTTTGATCACATAACATATAATAAAGAAGCCAATAAGATTTAAATTAATGAATTATTTTTAATATCTTAGTTACTGTATCACTATCTTTCTTACTAATAAAAAAATATGCATCTATATTCCAGCAACTGAAATTATCTCAAATATATAAGATGAAAAGATATCACAAGTATTTATTAGTATTATGTATCAAGTCTATAAGAGTTAGTCATCCATAACATTATAGTTTTTTTAATTGATTATGATTTGCAAAGCAGAAATCTTGTGATATTTTTTGCAATTATTGGATAATCTCAAAGTGCTTAACTTGATAATTTTTGTTGGTTAGAAATTTCAAAGTATACTGAATATCAGATTCAAGATCTTTTTCATCTATAAGATGTTTAGTTAGTGATTTGTATATATTTTATTGAATATTTGTCACTTCAATTTAACATAATTTTTGGATAATAGTATCAAGTCTCTTATTTACTACAAGTTCCTTAATTGTAATAATAATAGCTGATGATTTATATGATTTGCTTATTTTATTAGTTACTAGCTGTCTGATTACTTCTAATCACTTTATTTAATCAATATTCTCAATTTGATATATATAATTCAGAGTATTTTTATAATATTTAATTTGTATTATTTGTATTGTAATAATATATGTTACTTTAATTCTGGCATCACATTGGTTAAAATCACATTTACTTATTTTTCTTCTCTTTTTAACTGGAATTCCTGCTTTTTATATATTAGATTTATGATACTTTAAGAGTTGACAGATATAAATGATCCAAAAATTATTATTAAGAGATTGTCAGCTATTATATCACATCCAGATATTAGATACAAGTGACCATAATTCTTCACAAAACTTCTTTTTAGATACTTCAAAGGAATTATTAATATTAAAAAGACTTATGTATTTTTGATTAATAATTTCTTGTATTAGAAGTCTTATTTGAGATATAAAGATATATAAATATGTATATAGATATATATATAAATGTAGGTATATATATAGATATATATGCATGTATATATACGTATATACATGCATATATATATGCATATATATGTGTGATATATATGTGATATATATATATATGTATATATATATATGTATATGTGTATGTATATGTATGTGTATGTGCATATATATATATAAATTATTTTTATAATATTTCTTGTGAATTAAATACAGCTCAAAATATAAGATTTGGTTTTTTTTGCATTTCTTGCATGAATGTATTTAATTTTTTTTGTGTTTCTTAGATGAATATATTTTTAAGCTTGTGTTATTGACATAATTATTCCTTAACTGACATCCTATCCCCTATCTTATTCTTATTGTTTTTATTCCCTCATCAACCAATCACTCCCAAATATTCAAAAAAATAAAAACCAAAAAAATTACCTTGCAATAATGATGAAATATATTGTATACAGTTGTACAACTTTAATCATTAGGTAAATTCAGATTGACATGACCTGGATTTACATAATTCGAATTGACATATAATCCACTATCCTGCTTTAGTGTTTCCCCATCAAGCTGGAAAACAAAAAATTAAAAAGATTTCAAATAAAAAATTAAAATACTTTAATCTTTATAATATACTTTTGCTAAAGAATAGAGATGTCTCTCTGCCATAGGTTCCAAGATCGTCCAATTTTTAAGAGAAGCTGAAATTGTTGTATTTAATTCTGATAATTCATTTTCTGATAAAAGGTTCATGGTTCTTTGATCAAATAAATCAATGATTTTCCACAAGATTGGACTAAAAAAAATTTATTAGAATCTGGATACCACAGATAATGAAAAATCAGCATTTACTAACCATTTACTTTAACGACAATTCATATCGAATTTTTGTATCATCATTAGAAAACAATGCAGAAGTTAACAATTGTTGCTCCTGAGCTATTTTATCTAGCCAATTTGGTTTTGGTGCACTAAATTTCCACTCAATCGGAGGTTCTTCAGTCTACGAATACATCCAAAAGGTTCGTGGGTCAATTTGAATAACACGTTTTCGCGCTAAAAATTAAATAAGTACCTCGATTTCAAGTATTCGTAGCTCGTCTTGTTCACGTTGATAAGACTCAAAACATGCTCCTGTTGTACTTTCACACGATAAATCCTAGTAATAAAGATGAGTTAAAAAAAAGTGTTGTCAATAAAACAATATACTAAATTCCTGCACCTCATGACGACTACGTTTTTCATTTGATGGGCCTGCTTTGTTGTCATCGTTGTCATCATATGATCTTTTTTTTATAATTGTCGTTCCTTGTAACAGCTCCGATAATTTTTGAGAAGAATATATTTTTTCTTCTATGTGTTGGACCCTCTCGGTGAGTTGCAGATCACAGTAACGCTCGTAGAAATTATGGTACCATTCCTTACAACGCTCTAGGATTGACTCTCCTTCAAAAGTACTGAAATTTTTTAATCCTTTGCAAAATGAAATTACACTGACGGGAATTTTTTTGTGATTAGTTTTTGAGATAATGTTGAGAGAACCAATCCAATCTTTGTAAACGGTGGTTCAGCTTGGAATTATATCTTCGGTCCCCAAACGATAATTTAGGTAATGCTTAAGCCTCCAGTCTTGGGCACCTACTTTTTTAAAATAATCGTTAACATCTAAATAATCAGGTGCCAAAAAATTTACGTGGACATTCGATCTTAATGTTGCAGACATATTGTTGTAATAAAGCATACAAAGTATAACGATAAGTATTAATCGATTCGCGATTCTATATCACATGATCAGTAATGTAAATGTAAACAAATGCAAATGCTGATGTAAACAATTTTTTTTTTACTAATAAAATCCTAGAATTAAAACCCGCGTTCCGCAAATTCCGCAAATAGATTTCATACACTGGGTGTAACTATGCTGAAGTTTCCCATGTCGGCCAGTCTCTGGCGGTGAGAACTTCCTTGTATCTTTGGATACTTAGGAGAAGCCATAGCTTCGTGTCGGCCAGTCTCTGGCGGTGAAGTTATGAGTTACTGTAGCTAACAACTGTTCGCGTCGGCCAGTCTCTGGCGGTGACAGTTGATTTATTGATTTTGCTGAAGTTTCCCATGTCGGCCAGTCTCTGGCGGTGAGAACTTCCCTTGTATCTTTGGATACTTAGGAGAAGCCATAGCTTCGTGTCGGCCAGTCTCTGGCGGTGAAGTTATGAATCAGTGAATATCCAAGTTATTTCTTGGTAGTTACGCCCCTATCAGTCAAATCGGATAATAACACATCACATGGTTAAAATTTATAAATGCGAAGTGAGACTTTATTATTAAGAAAAAAGAGAGAAATAAGTGATGCTAAGTATCAAGTTATTTCTTTGCTCTCTCGTTTACGAAAAATATCTATAGCTAATTTGTTTCTATTGCTAATATTTCTAAATACAAGATTCTCATCCCTATACTCTTTTTTTACACTAGATCTTCGAAATAAATTATCCCACACATGTCTACAGGATTTTTGTCTATCTATATCTCTCCCAAACACGCAGATTATGTAAAATAATATTCCCCGTAATGAAACTTCTCGGAGATTAAGTAATTTCGAATCTAAGGATAAATTCGGGAGATTAGCAACTGAGGTAAAAAATATTTCCGATTCATACTTACCATTATTATTAATTTTCGCAACATTACATTCCACCTGAAATTTATTACTTAATGCATTATAATTCGATTTTTTTATTGCCCGTACGATACTGCGCCAAATACCAAGAATTATTATTGTTAACACATTGCGCCAAATTTTGTTGAGAAGCGTGATGTTAAGGCATGTGATGAGATTCATGTGAATAGTTTCACTGCGTCTATTGTACGCGTGATTGTCAAAGATCTTCTCGGCGAAGATCAGAATGCCGATACATAGCAAGAAGAGTAATATATCCGTTTTATTTTGGAACATCTATAGAGACAGGAAAATCGATTAACATCGTGATGACATGTCTCAAGAAGCTAACCGAGCAATAAAATCAACATACCTTATTGTTTTGCGGAATATAGGAATTCGTTTGATCAAGGATATTAACGATGTAAATAATGGTATGTTAGATTGGTTTTGATTTTTTCGTTTTACTTGCACAAGGCGGATAAAAGGATTTACTAACCAGGTCATCACCTTTTTATATAATTCACAGAATCGATTTTGTTATACGCTTTTGGGGAAATTACGTTAATATGATCGCATCACGAAAATCTGATCAACGGACTCTCCTTAATTTAACAATAAAAGAATTTAACGCTATCCATATGTAAAGATCATCAAGAGGTCCTTTTACAATAATATACGTAATAATTTTGAGAATATGCGAGAAAGTTTGAGAATAAAAATGCATATCATACCTCCGAACTGGTGAACTAATAGAACTAACTGAATTTGCTTAATTTCGGCCAGCATTATTCCACAATTTCGGCCAGAACTTTGGGTATAATAACTCGACATTCAAACTGGCCTGAAACTGGCGAACTAATAGAAATACTCTGGTTCCCTACCAGTTCTATGATAGTTCCAGGAGAGTTCCATGACACTATCATGGCGCCATCGAGTTGCCAAGCTAGATCCTCGAATCACGTGTCCTAAAGATCGGCCAAAATTATGGCATAATGTCAGCCGAAATCAATCACGAATTTATTGTTCCACCGACACGATATTTTTTTTTACCATATTTCGGCATAACAAAATAGGTAAAGAAGGAAAGCACCCTCGACACCTTAACAGGTAACCAAAGAGAGGTAAACAAAAAGATAGCTCTATTAATAAAAAAGGTATAGAAGTACGTAAACAGAAAGATATTTCCTTAACGTTAAAAAGGCTAAAGACAAAGAAGTAAGGCGTAACCATCAGATTATGAAGTTACCATTAAACTTCGAAGCCACTATCAGATTATGTAATTAGGTTATGAAGTCACCATTAGATTACGAACTTAGATTATGAAGTACCAGCAGATCATGAAGTTACCATTATATTATGAAGTCATCATTATATTATGAAATCACCATTATATTAAGTTACCAGTAGACTATGAAGTTACCATTATATTATGAAGTTACCAATAGATTATAAAGTTACCTTTATAACCTAATCTAAGTTATATATGATTTTATAATATAATATAATTATATTATGAAGTCACATGTAATTATTTGCAATATTAGAACTATAAATTATACAAGCAAATTATTCTAGATTTGATAAATATATATTCTAAATTTTATAAAAATTAAATCAATAATTATAAAAATATTAAGATTCATATAATAATTTTGATTAGATTATCTTCTTTTAGATTAGATCTTTATTTTTGTATTATCTATATAATAGATTAATTTTTATATTACTTTTTTTAAAGATTATTTTCATATTAAATATATAAATGATCATTCATATATTTAATTAATTAGATTTATCACATTATCATACAGATAATTATCATATATATCTCTTATTATTTATTTATATTATTATTTATATCATTTATAATTTATTAATTTATAATTAGTTATTCTCTAAAAATATAAATCAAGTTAATTAATTCTATTTAATCTATATATATTTTAATTATAAATTATTATTAATTTATTTATATTTATATTTATTTTTTTTATTATAAAAAAATTCTCTTTATTTTATATTTTTAATCTCAGATCTAAATATTATTCAAATAATAAAAATTATAAATTTTATAAATTAAAACTATTTATATCATATTTTATTTTATTTATAATTATTAATAAAATAATTTTATAATTTAATAATAATAGATATAATTATTATAAATACTATTTTTTAATATCTTATATTATATATTATATATATACTTTATATATATATATATATATTTTAGTTTAGAATTTAAATTTTTTAAAATAAATAGTAAATAATTTGATTAATTTATGTAAAATATAACTAAACTTATTAAAATAGTAAAAAAAGATAATTTTTTGATTCAAAACTCTCATTTTATCTCTTAATTAAATTATCTATATACTTAGAAAAGTTAAATAAAAATATACTTATCTGGATAATACAAGTTAAAACTATATTTCTAACTTAAAAAATTATAAATAAAAAGATTCAAGTATAATATATTATTATTTTCTTAACTAATATAGTTTTATATTAAAGTATCTTAATAAATATAAAGTTAATAATAATATTATATTATTCAAAACTGAAAAATCTTTATTATAATACTTAAAGAAATCTTTTAATTATTATATTATTAATAATATCTTTATAAATGATTATATCTTCTTTATTAAATAGAATTTATATAAAATTATGATATAAAATTCAAAAATATAATTAATTAAGTTATCAATATGAAAGATTTAGATTAAGTTATATATTTTATAGAAGATCTAAAATCTATTATAAAAATAGAAATTAGTTATCAGATATCAAAAATCTTAAAAGAAGCTTAAAAGTTAATTATATTATAATATTATTATATATGGATAAAATAAATCATTAGACTTATCAAGTAAATATAATAATAATTATTATTATTTACAAAATTAGCATAAAAATTATTAGAATAATAATTTAATATTAATAAAATTAGATTAAGCAGAAAATTATTATAATAAAAAAAATAATTAATAAAAAAATAATAAATTTAAAGATACTTATTATAACTATAAAAAATCTAGTTATTTTATAAAGAATTATTATTTTAAATCAAAAATTAAAATTATAAATATAAAAAACTTAAAAAAAATTCTTCTAGTTTTATAGAAGAGTAAATTTATTTATCTAGAAGATAATTATAAGAAATTGTTAAAGTTTAATGATCAAATAAATAATAAGTTAGTATAACTTTTATTAAATAATAATATATTAAGAAACTTTATAAATAAAAAATTTATATAGATAAATAAAGTAAAAATTTAAAAGATAATATTATTGTGATATAAATATTTAGTAAAATATTAATTACTTATTTATTATTGATCATTTTATATTATAATATGATTAGATGAATTATTACTTATATTTTATTAGCTATTAGCTTTAGAAAATATTATTTATAGATATTTTTAGAAGGTTTTGCAAATATAATAATCATGGTAAAATTATTATAATAAAATTAATAAAACTATCATAATAAAACTAATAATACTATCATAATAAAATTAATATTATAACCAATCACCTATTTATATAGTATAATAAATATGATATAGTAAATGGTGCAGCTGCAGTATATGATATAATAATTACTAATTATTACTAAATTGAATAAATAAATAATTTATATTAATTAATCTTATTTATAATTAATTTTATTTTTAGTTTATATTATTATTCATATTTAG